CTGCAGACCCAGATGCTCGCGCGGCCGACAGGCTCGGAGCCGCAATGGGCTGCAGATGTGGCTGGCGGGGGTGGACACGCTCCAGATGAGAGCCGTCCCGGGCAGCTGCAGGGCTCCGTCCGCGCCCCCTCCAGCACCCCAAACCCGAGCGCAGGGGTGTTCCAGGGTGCATGGGGCCCAGGCCCCAGCCAAACCCCAAGGAGAGCAGAGCCCAGGGTGCCCCCAGGGCAGGCAGAGAATGAGGGTGCCCTGCCCCCTCCCATTCCAGCCTCCGCCATTCAGCCGCCATCAGAGGGTTCCCTAGATCAGGGGCCGGGCACGGGAGGGCACACAGAGTCCAGCCCCAGAAGGATCTGGAAGGAGGCAGCCTGGTCCTGCGGCCCCAGCCCTCGGTCTCCCCCACGCCCCACCACTCTGGTTCGACAGGGACCTGGGGGCGCAGTCTCAGCCTCCACTCCAGACCCTCAACCACCCCCCCAGCTGAGGGAGCTCAGTCACTCAGCATCCCGGACTGCCAAGCTCGGGGTCCCCACCCCTAACTAGCACTGTGGCCCCTCTCAGTCCGGGCACTCTGCCAAGCCCGGAGGTCTCTGGGCTGGAGGGTCCTATGAAACCCAGAAGAGTCTTCTTATGGGAGCCAGAGGGGGGATGATCCCAGGCTGGCCCTCTGCCCCCCAGGGCCCCTGGGAGCAGCCCCCGGGGATCCAGAGACAACAGTCTCTGCCCCCAGGGACCCACCACAAGCCCCCTCCTGCCACTCCTGCCGGCCACTGGAGGTCAGGCTGAGAGGCAGAGTGCAGCAGGCAACAGGCAGAGGGTCAGGCCCAGTACCCTTCATCTGCTAATTTCCAGCTTCCCATCTTGGCCACGACCCTAGATGGACCCCCGGGGTCAGAGGTCAAGGGTGAGTTGACCAGGGGGCAACTGCCAAGAGCATCTGGGGTGGCCTGAGGGTGGGACGGCCTGGCCCGGCTCCCCACCCAGTGCCTCCCGACCCGAGTCGGCCCAGGTCCAGGTGCCCAGGCCGTGCCATCTGGCTGTGCAGGCAGCATTTGGGGCACTCGAGGGCCCAGGCAAACAGGTCACTTCAGGCGAGTGCTCTGGGTGGGGGAGCTCACGTGTGGAGGCTTGCTCGGGGCAGACAGGGGTTCGGGGAGCCCCCTCAGCCCACAGATAGAAAGACGGGCCAGGGGCAGACCCCTGGGAGCCACTACAGGAACAGCTCAGCTGGGCAGAGCGCAGAGTCCAGGGGACCCCCGCCAGCCTCCAAACAGCCCTGGGCCCTGTCCGCACACCCCCAACCCCCAAGCAGCTCACCCCAGGAGTCCCTTCATCTCCGGGGTGTGCCGAGGTCAAGATGGAGTCAGGAGCCCCCAAAGGAGCCCTCCCCAGGGCAAGGGGTGCGAGGTTGAGGTGAGGAGGGGGCCAGGGTCAGTGTCAGGACAGGACTGAGGAGGGGTCCCTGGTACCGGGGTGGGGCGTCCAGGCCTGTGTGTCTTGGCCGAGGTGGACCCCGGGCCCGCCAGGTATGTAACAATTCCAGCCATTTCCTGCCCTATTAATGTGAAAGGGGCTGATATAAATATGCACTCAGCATAAATAAATACCGGCCGGCGGGCTGCATAGCAGACGGATTGCATGGCGCAGCCGCAGGCCGCCAGCGCGCCCCCACCCGCCGCCGCCCCCCACTTGTTTTCCTCCCGCCGCCCAGGGCCTGAGACAGAGGGACAGGCAGGCTCCCCCTGCAATCTCCAACAGCCCCCTAGCCTCGGACAGCACCAGCCTAGGGACCCAGCATCCGTCAACCCATCTGGGGGCAGAGGGCACTGCCCAGGCACGGAGCCATCATTCCTGGGATGCACCGGTGGGGAAACTGAGGCTTGCAAGCTCTAGGGAACTCAAATCCCAGCTCCTGGGGCTGGGGTCCAGGGCTCCGGGTCCATACTCCCACCCTCCTGCTCAAACGAGTGACTCAGGGGGTGAGGCCCCCGATGTGGGGCCCCAGTGCCCGGCAGAACCGTCTCACAGAGCTGCAGGGTGGACTGCCCTTTCCTCCTCTGGGCACACCCCCAAGTCCGTGACCAGCACCCCACATCACACAGGCACGGGAACAGCTCCTGAGGGTCAGGCTGACCCAGGCCACAGAGGCAGGGTTGGACCCTGGGCATCAGCCCGGGGCCTTCTCCTGCACCTTGGAAACCCAGGGGACAGAATCCGTCTTCTCTGTTCCAGAGACCCCACCATAGGGTGGGCGCAGGTGACCCAGCACCCAGAGGGGCCGCACTCCTGTCTCAAGAACCAGGTCCAAGAAGGCAGGACCCACACAAAACCAGCAGATCTGGGGCCAGAGGTGCAGACTTTTCCACGGCCCACGCCCCTCATCGGTGTCCAGACCAAAGCCCCCTCCTTCGAGAAGCCTTCCCAGCCTTCCAGCCCCAAGGAACAGCCCCCAGGTCTGGCACTGCCTCCCAGGCTCCAATGCTTCCACAGGGGCCCCCAGGGGGCCCCCAGAGCTCCCAGCAGAGAAAGAGTGGGTGACCATCTGCACGATATAAAAATAAAAACACAGTATGAGACTAATACCCAAGGACAGTGGAGACGAGAGCCAGGATGACTGGTCCATGGTTGGAAGCTTGCCACAAGGGGTGGGTGGCAGTTGGGACAGAGAAGGGACCACTGTGACAGTAATCGTGGGAAATGATCTCTCTGGACAAGAACTGGGTGCCGAAAGGAGGTAGAGGGATACACAGGATAACCTTTCAGTAACAGCATTGTGAACCACAGCGCAGAGAGAGAGAGAGAGAGAGAGAGAGAGAGAGAGAGAGAGAGAGAGAGAAAGTGCCTGCCACAGAGGAATGCTGGGGACAGGAGTGGCAGGAGGGAAACTGAGGACACTGGTGGAAAGAAATGGACACTGGTGGAGGGACGGGTGCTGGAACATGTATGACCAAACTCCAATCGTGAACAACTTTATAACTGCATCTCATAGTGATTCCATAAAAAAATAAAGGAGGGGAAATACAACTTTAAAAATTATTTTTTTTAAGAAAGGAAGCAGGAGGCTCCAGGGGTTGTTACTGTCCCAGCAGCCTGTGAGCAGTGTGGGATCCAACACTGAAGGAAGCGCTGAGCAGGATGGGGGGGCCTTGGACCCCAGATCAGACCCTGCCCCAGCAGCCAGGTGAGGCCTCAGCCCCAGGCCCCGGGACATGGTAGATGGTGGGTCCCAGGGTGGTGGTGTCCAGAGAACTCTCCAGGAGAGGGGCCAGCCCCCAGCACCCCCCACCCCCGGCCAGGCCTCAAGGCTGCGCTGGAGGAGTCGGCAGTGACCGGAAACTGAGCTGCCCAAGGAACTGACCAGCCGTGTGGGCAGCTGGGAACGGGCAGTGACGGGGGCAAAGTAGCCATAGCCTATTGGGGCCATTCTGATGTTTCCCGAGAGTCCTCGCCTGGCAGTGCTCAGGGGTGCCTCCCAACTCTGTGCTGGGGGGTCAGGTTCAGGTCTGAGATGGGATGGGGAGACCCACACACACGTGGGATTGGCAGGAAGGACCAGGCCAGCCACATCTGCAGGTGGGGGTCACCTTATTCCTAAGAAGGGACCAACACGGTTTCCTGCACACCACGCGCCCCCAGACGCCCTCGCCACCGTCCAGCTCAGCTCTGACTCCCCCCACCCGTCCTCCCCCCAACTCCCCTCACCTTCCCATGCCTCTCTTGGACTCTGGGGTCGCTCTTCTCTCCTGCTCTCTCCCACCCAGCTCCCCCCGCCCCCTGGCCCTCTTCCAGCTCCCAGTGGCCACTCCAGAGCCTCAGTCCCAGGCCCTCCCACCAAGCCAGGAGCCAGCTGAGCACCTCCTGGGCCCCCATTTCCCGGCATGCTGTGTGCACCCAGGCCCCGGCACGTTTGACCTGACCAGGGCCAAGAGGACTCACTCCACGGTTTCTGCCTCCCTGGCTAGGGGTCAGCCCTGACCTGCTCCTCAGACTGGAAGGAAGCTGTGGGAGGCAGGACCGGAATGCAGGAGAAGGCAGTACAGAACTCTCTAGAACTCTCATTCCCACGCTCTCCCCACCTCAGGCTTGGGGAGCCACGGGGGAGGGGAGGAGCACAATAGAGGGATGATGGAGAAAGACAAAAGGGGAAGAATGGGGGCTGGAGGGATAGCATAGCGGAGAAGGCGTTTGCCTTGCATGCAGCCAACCCGGGTTCGATTCCCAGCATCCCATACGGTCCCCAGAGCACCACCAGGAGTAATTCCTGAGTGCAGAGCCAGGAGTAGCCCCTGAGCATCGCCAGGTGTGACCCAAAAAGCGGGAAAAAAGGCGGGGGAGAATGAAGGGATGATGATGGGGGAAGGGAGAGATGGGGGATGAAATGACGGCAAGAAGGATGTCAGGTGGGAGAATGGATTTATGTGTGAAGCATGAATAGGTGGGAAAGGGAGTGCCTAAGTGTCTCATAAACAAATGAATGTTCTTCTCAGACTGACACAGAATCACTTCTTCTGTGAAACTGCTTCTCCAAGGATTTCTCTAAACCCCTGAAATGTGAGGACCTGGCACCCTCCAGAGGCCAAAGATGCTAACTACCCATCTCCCCTAAAGCTGGACACCCGCAGGCCTGAGCAGACCCACAGAAGGCTGAGAGTTCTGGAAACAGACCCCAGGGACCAGCCCTGTTCCTTCTTCTGAGATGCTAGGAGGTCCCCCTATGACTCAGTCTTCTCAGCTGCAAAATGGAGCCAAATCTGACCATGCAGCTCTGAGTTTAAGCAGGAAGACCGTGTAAAGCTGGTCTCTAGCATCTGCCAAACGCGTCTTTCCCAGAAGTACCTCGGGGTGCGTACACTCGCGTGCACCCCCTGCACACACACCGACATGCAGGTCTGCACACACGTCCAGCTGGGGAGGGAAGAGGAACAGATAACAAAACCCTCAGCCAGTTCAGTCCAGGAGAGCAGATGGGGACACATTTATTCTCCAAGGGCTCCACGCACTGGCGCGGACTCGGGGCCCAGGGACTCGAATAAGGGCCCTGAGTCCTGGAGCTCAGCTTCCTGGGCCTGCGCCAGCTGGGCAGCATGCTCGAAGGCTGCCTGCAGCAGGTGGGAGGCCAGGCAGGTGGTCCAGGTGACGAGGTAGGCCAGGTGCCAGGAGGTGAGCGCCATGCTGCTTTCCACCCACCGGTACAGGCGCTTCAACAGGGCCACCAGCTCCATCGCCGCGCAGTTCTCTAGCAGGGCCTGGGGCAGCCCAGCACAGGGCAAGTGGCTGTTCTAGCCAGGTAACCACGCGGCCCTGCCCGAGCCCCGCCCACCCACCTGCCAGGCAGCCAACCCCGACCCCGCTCTGCCCTAACTCCGCCCTATGCCCGCCTCCGGCCGTCTGACCCCGCCCCTCACTTTGTAGAGCCGCCAATCCCGCTCCGCCCTTCCTATCCCCGCCCCCTTCCCCGCCTCCAGCGGCCGGGCCACGCCTACCCACCTTGTCCCCAGCCGGCCCCGCCCATCCCTCACCTAGCCCCGCCCCCCTCCCCTTTGCTCGCTCATCTGATAGGGCAGCCAGCCCCCACCCTGCCCCGCCCATCTCATCCCGCTTAGCCACCTTGTAGGACAACCGGCCCAGGCTGCAATCCCGGGCTTTCTGCAACAGACGCCAGCCCAGCAGCGCAAGCACCACGGTCGCCAGCAGGAGGCTGTGCACACACGACAGCAGCGTGTGTGTCCAGGTGGCTAAGGACAGGCCTCCTGCATCCAGGGCACCGGACTGCAGGGGGCCCAAATGCAGGGCCCGGGCACAGCCCTGCAGGACAGCCCACGCCAGGCGAGGTCCCTGCAGTAGCAGCCACACCGGGAACTCTATCAGCGTCAGCCCTGCCCGGAGGGCCCGGCCCATAGGACAGCCAGCGAGCCTAGGCCGTGGGTGATCCTGCAGGCCGCTGGGCCCCTGGGCCTCCCGGCTCAGCTCCGACAGCCAGTGGTTGAACAGGAAGATCTTAATCAGCAGGAAATTGTAGACGTACACCCGGTTCTGGACCACCTGTCAGGGAAGGGTGAGTGGTCATCAGCCACCTGAGCAGGAATCCGTACTGCCCTCACCCCGCTCTCGACTTCCCTCAACCCAGGAGAGCTGCTCATGCGTTCGGGTCTATCCCTTGTTAGGACCCAATCTCAGGAGGAAAGGAGTTTTGGTTATAGGGGGTCTCTTCCCTTTGGATGTAAAGGGTAATAAATGAAACCACAGGCAGGGATGGGGAGATGGTGCCTACATGTGGATTTTTGCACACAGGACCCCCAGATTCCATCCCCAGCACCACAGGAAGTGTACTCCCAAGTCCTTAGCCAAAAGTATCTACTGGTATGGCCCCCAAGCAACAAGCAAACAAGCAAAAAAGAAAAAAACTCCTCTTGCTCAGTGGTCTTCACCCGAAGGGCTGCGGGCCCCCAGGGCAGAGAGGGGTGGAGAAAAACCCAGCTCTAACTGAGGGGCAGTTTTGTCGAGTTGTCGCTGTGGAGTCGTGTCTCCAGTCCTGTTGCTGAATAAGGGTGTCCTTGGCCCCTGTCATCTCCAGGACTGGAGCCCACCGCAGTCACAGTCTCTGTGCCTGGACTGCCCTTTGCTTCTGGTGTGAGAGGGCACACGGGCTGTGGGTGGGATCGAGCTCACGACCAGTCCCCAGGTGGGCTGATGGAGAGGAGGAGACCCAGATTTCTCCCCTGGTCCCCCATCACTGAGCCCAGGGGAGAAAGAGCCTGCAAACCGGGGTTGGAGCGATAGCACAGCGGGGAGGGCGTTTGCCTCCCACGCGGCCGACCCGGGTTCGATTCCCAGCATCCCATAGGGTCCCCCAAGCACCGCCAGGAGTAATTCCTGAGTACATGAGCCAGGAGTAACCGCTGAGCATCGCCGGGTGTGACCCAAAAAGAAAAACAAAAAAAAAAGAGCCTGCAAACCCGGAAACTACACCCAAATTCTGGAGCTAAATAAAGTCCCTGTTCTGATTCCCGACCCCTAGCAAAGCCCCTGGTCCCATCAGAACCCCACGTACCCTGTACAGGACCCCCAGAGACCCTGGAGATGCACATCCAGATTAACTGTGAGTCCTCCAGGGGCGGGGCCTGTGAGCCAAGGGGTGTGGCCTACGTGGGGAGGGGCGTGGCCTGTATAAGTATGGTCCCTGGGCGGGCGTGTCTGAAGGGTCAAGGGGTGTGGCCTACAGAGTCAAGGGGGCTGGATCATGCACAAAAGGGGCTGCAGAGAGGGGTGGTAAGAGAGGGTTTGAAGTGCAGCAGCGCCCAGAATTACCGGAGCAGGGAGGAGACAGACCTGTTAGCGCCCACCCTGACCCGGCAAGATTGGTTCTAGGAGAGAACAGAGGCGCAAAGAAGCAGCATCACTGGGTCCGAGGCACACAGAAACGTGGGCGGTGGGGAACAATGCCTGTATCGTCTCTTTCTATAGCCAGGACATCCTGTTCTGATCTCCGGCCCAGGGAGGGGTCATGACTTGGAAATGTGGCCCCAACTGTCAGCGTGTGCATAGATTAGGGGGCTTGGGGGACTCCCACACAATGCTCAGGGAACCCAGGTGTCACTCCTGATCTACTCAGCCAAGCAGGGGTTTCATGCTGCGGTCCTACTGTGCCAGGAACCACCTGGCCCGACCCACAGGGCTTGGGGACCTCCAGGGCCACACCTGGTGATGACTAGGGGCCTCTGGTACTTGGGGACGGGCACGTAGTATTAAGGCTTTGAACATGGGCCCCATAAGTGCCTCTGGCCGCTGAGCTGTCTCCCCCAGCGCCATCATTTGCATGTTTAAATAAAACAATGAGGTGGGGCTGGAGAGATAGCACAGCTAGTAGGGCCTTTGCCTTGCACGCGGCTAACCTGGGTTCGATTCCCAGCATCCCATATGGTCCTCTGAGCACCTCCAGGAGTAATTCCTGAGTGCAGAGCCAGGAGTAACCCCTGTGCATCGCCAGGTGCAACCCAAAAAAGCAAAAAAAAAAATTATGAGGGGGCATGGAGCCATAGCACAGGGGGTAGGGCGTTTGCCTTGCACTGGGTCGACCCAGGTCCGATTCCCAGCATCCCATGTGGTCCCCTGAGCACTGCCAGGAGTAATTCCTGAGTACGGAGCCAAGACTAGCCCCTGAGCATCACCAGGTGTAACCCAAAAAGCAAAAAAAAAAAACAATGAGGGCAGTAGAGATTGTACAGCAGAAGGGTACTAGCCTTGAAAGCATCCAACCCATGTTCCCATTGGTCCCCTTCGCCCCTTCAGGAGTGATTCCTGAGAGCAGAACCAAGAATCCCCTGAGCATTGCCAAGTGCGACCCCAAAACCAGCAAAAAGATAGGTGGGGGCCAGAGAGATAGTACAGTGGGTAGGGCTCTTGCCCTGCACATGGCTGACCCCACTTTGATCCTCCACAAGGCCCAGCCTGGAGTGACCCCTGAGTGCAGAGGCAGGAGAAAGCGCTGAGCACCATCAGGAGTGGCCCCCAAACAAACAAAATTTAATTTAACCAAAGAATTGATGGGCGGCTGCCACTGGGGTCTGAGAGGCAGCACACGTGCCTTGAATGTGAGGTCCTGGGCTCCCTCCCAGACACCACATGGTCCCCTGGGCACCACAAGATGGTGACACTTCCCCCCAGGCCCTGCCCCGAGCACAGTGGCCCCCAAAACAAAAACAGTGATGCGTTTCAAAAGGGGAAAGCAGGTGGTAGGAACAATGCTAAATTCGCAGGAGAACAATGCTAAGAACCATCCCCGAGGAGGGGTCGGGGACCCACTCGGGGTGGGGGCGGCTCATGGGGGCCTCTAGGGGTCAGGGCCTGATGGGAGGGCCCTGCAGCTGAGCAGGGCTGGTGAAGCCCCCCTCCCCAGCCCCTCGACCTTCTCACCAGCGCTGAGAGCTTCACTGCCAGCAGGAGTACCCCCAGAAGGCTGGGTCTGGGCGGGCCGGAGTCCATGCTCCCTCCGTCCCTCCTGCAGCTGGACAGGGCAGTGACCTCACAGAGTAGAGGGTGGGGGCCGCGTTACCATGGGGACCCAGTAGCCCCCCCCAAGAACCCTTCTCTCTGTCACTAGCCCATGGAATGAAACTGGGGGGAGGGGAAGGAGTGTTTCCTTCCAGGCCCCCTGAAAGCTGCACTGAAACGGGGGAGGGAGGCCGCTGGGAAGGGAGCAGGACCCCCTGCCCCCGCCAAGCCCCAGAGTGGCGCAGCCCAGCAGAACCGAGGTGTTCGGCCAGGCTGGACCACAGTGACAAGAACATGACCAGGCGCAAGCGACAGGAAGGAGACCTCCCAACCTGAACAGGATCCCCCCAAGTGCCACCAGCATCAACCCCCAAGTCTGACTGGAATAGCCCTTGAGAGCTCTGGGTGTGGCCCCCCAAAAAAAGGCAAATAAAGAAATAAAGTTTTCATTGTTTTTTTGCGAGAGTGGATTTTTTTCTTTTTTCTCTTTTTTTTTTAGGAATGTTTATGGGGACACCGTGATTTACAAAGTTGTTCATAACTGAGTTGATTCAGACCTAAGACATTCCAACACAATGCCACCACCAATGTCCCCTTTCCTTCACCAATGTCCCCTTCTCTCCACCAGTACCCCCGGGTTCCCTTCTGGCCCCCAGCCATGGCAGCCATGTAACAGATTGATTTCATATTTCGGTATCTTTAAAATTGGAACCGGAGCAATCTTGTAGAGTGGGGAGGGCTCTTGCCTTGTACACAACAGACCTGGTTTGAGCCCCTGCACCCCATATGGTCCCTCAAGCCCCGCCTGAATGCAGTCCTGAGTACCACCACTTGTGGCCCCAAAATTAACAACACATTTTTTTTGTTTTAATTATAAGCCGCAAGAGCCATCAAGGAGCCCAAGCAGCGAGGTCACTGGAAATAGCTGCATTAAGCACTGACCACGGAGGCCAGACCAAGAGTGAGAAGAGTCCAGTAGGCAGGAACCTGCCGGAAGGGGTCGGAGAGAGAGGACAGAGATTAAGGCTCATCCTGCCTGCCACCAAGCCCAGTCCAGTCCCTGGCACCTCATGTGCTTGTTCTGAGCACAGAGCCAGGAGTAATCTCGGAGCATGGCTGGACGATACCAAAAATAAAATAAAATAAGATGAAAATAAAATACAGTAAGGAGCACCACAAATTATCCCTGCAGGCATGAGTTGGGGCACCTGGATCCCAGAGAAAAGCTGGGAATAGCCAGAAGGGGGGTCAATGCAGGAGGCGAACAGCAGGGGGCGCCTAGGGGCCCGCCAGGACCCCCACGAAAGGGCAGGACAGACAATGGGTGTCCTTCCACCAGCAGTGGCCCAATTTGCCCGGGTTTCCTGCGTTCCCCCGCCCTGCGAGGGTGAGAACAGGGTCAGGATCACCTGTGCCCTGAGCGGGATTGCTAATCCTAGGGGACCAATCTCCTATCAGTGGCAGTGAGCACATCTGCCCTTGGCAGAGAGCAGCATGACTGCAATAAACGTCTTCCAGACAGAGGTCCCAAGGCCGAGAGGGGGCTCAATGGGCTGAAGGGGGCCTTGAGCACTGCCAGGAGTGACCCCAGAGCCAGAAGTAGCCCCTGATCCCTGCCCCATGTGGCCCAGAAACAGGTAAAATGAGGAAGCAGGGGCTGGAGCAACAGTAAAACAGGGAGGGCACTTGCCTTGCACACAGCTCACCCGGGTTCAACCCCTGGCATCCTATCTGGTCCCCTGAGCACCGCCAGGAATGGCTCCTGATCCCAGAGCCAGCGGTAAGCCCTGAGCACTGCTGTGTGTGCCCGAAAAACCAAAAGCATAAGAAAAAGAAAAAGGAAAGAAAACAGTGGGTTCCAGAGACAGACACCCAGAGAAAGGTCTAGAACCAAGCACCAACTCATGGGCAGAAGCAGAGGTGGCCCACAGAAGCTTCTCTCCTTCCAAGAGACCAAAGGGGCAGGGTGAAACGAGTTGGTGACCAGCGCCTCAGAAGGTGCCGGGCCCCACACTTAGGGGGACCAAAGGGGAGCAGGTTTGGGGAAGGAGTCAGGGGCTGAAGAAGAGTTTCGCACTTGAATCTAACTCCTCTCCCCCCGCCCACAATAATTTCAGGGGCACAGGACGGCTGCAGAAACGTTTGGTGGGTGAGTGAACAAGTGAATTAAATGAATGAGTGAATGAATAAGTGAGTTATCAAGAGAATGAATATGTGAGTGAATGAGTAAGTTCATAAATGAATGAGTGAATGAGTGAGTAAATAAATGAGTGATTTAAAAAATGAGTGAAATAATGAATGAATAAGTGAACGAGTATAAAACTCTATGAATTAGTGAATTAATGAATGAGTGAATGAGTCCATGAATAAATGAGGGAGCGAATGAAGGAGTTTATTTTTTTTTGTTTTTGTTTTGTTTTGTTTTGTTTTTTTTGCTTTTTGGGTCACACCCAGCGATGCACAGGGGTTACTCCTGGTCCATGCACTCAGGAATTACTCCTGGCCCTGCTTGGGGGACCTTATGGGATGCTGGGAATCGAACCCGGGTCGATCGCGTGCAAGGCAAACGCCCTACCCGCTGTGCTATCCCTCCAGCCCCGAATGAAGGAGTTTAACGAATAAATGAATGAATGGCCTCAGAGTTCTGTCCTGCCAGGCAGGACGGGAGGACAGCAGGAACTGCATTCGGAAACTCTCCACCGGCTCTCCCTTACTCAACATCTAGGTTCGAGGCCATCGGGTCCTCTTGTAACCTGAGAGATGCCCCGCCAGCCGGCCTGTCCCTGCTGTGCGCGGGGAGGCGGGAGGTGGGGCGCAGTTACCCGCAGTTCCCCCAAGCGTGGAACCAGGACCACCTTCTCCCCTTGGCCAAGGTCCGGCGCCGCCGACGGTCAGGAGCGCCCCTGCGGGTGCAGTACCCGGACGTGACCGCGCGAGGGCAGCAGACACCGGGGCGCGCGGCGCGGCTTGGCAGCGCGGGTTCTTGTTTTGGTTTGATTTTGCTTATTTTGTTTTCTAGCCCATGAGTCCGGTTTCCAGGTAACAGCAACGTTGCGCCACGCCCGAGAGAGTTCACCAGGTGCAGGCCCCGTCAAGCTTGGGCTGCTGGAGGCGAAACCATGGAGGTAGGCTTGGGCGGCCGCCAATATTCCTCTTTTCTTTCCCCGCCCAAGCCAAAGCCTCATTATTTCAGCTCTTCACTCCTTTTTCTTCTTTTTTTTTTCCCCCGGAAATACATCCAAAATAAATAAATAAAACTGACAAATACACCTTACTGAAATCTGGCCGTTTTTTTCTTTTCCTAAAGATGACGTCATCGAAACTACTTAGATGCTGTGAGGATGGTCAGACACAGACTAACTTTTGTGAGGGACTCTCCTGGTTAATCACTTAATCACTTAACTTCTCGTTAGTCATCGATTTGCTCGAGCGGGCGCCAGTAACATCTCCATTTGTCCCTGTCGCGTGCTAGTGTAGCCCAATGGCATCTGTTCGCTCCGGGAACATGAAGAGCCTCAAACCAATCGTTCATGATCTTGACGAAGAAGTCTGACCATCTGGTAGGTGGGCGGCCACGCGGTCTTTTGACATCCCGTGGAATCCAGTCAGTAACAGCTCTAGTCCAGCGGTCATCTTTAAATCTCATTACGTGACCAGCCCATCTGATTTTCGACACCTTGGCAAATGAGACAGCGTCCCTGATTCTTGATCGTCAACGGATGTCGGAACTCCGGATTTTCTCCCTCCTGGTTGGAGGGAGAAAATTGCAAGCCGCATCCCCTACCCCCCTCGCCCCCCTACACCCCCCACCCCCCCTCTCGTGCACACATACCGAGTTCCCAGACCCAAAAGACTTAGATCCACTTTACAGAACTGAATCGATTCCAAAAGTTGTACCCACTACTCCTATACCACCTTCCTCAACCTTTGCAGAATCGGGGTGGGGCAGAAGAGAGGGTCACCCCAGTGTTTGGTGGGTATATGAGGTCAGCATCTCACAGGAGAGAAAGAAACTCTTGGGGCCCAAGATAGAATACATCTGGTAAGGCATCTGCCTTGCACGAAGCTGACCCCACTTCAGACTCTGGGACCCCATGACGGCCCCCAAGCACGGCTAGGAGTGATTCCTGAACACAGACAGGAGCAAGCCCTGTGCACCACTGAATGTGACCCAAAATCCCAAAAAGAAAGAAAAAAAAACTTTAGAATGTCTAAAGTTGGGCTGGAGAGATAGCACAGCAGGTAGGGCGTTTGCCTTGCATGCGGCTGACCCGGGTTCGATTCCCAGCATCCCATATGGTCCCCTGAGCACCCACCACCAGGAGTAACTCCTGAGTGCAGAGCCAGGAGTAACCCCTGTGTATCGCCAGGTGTGACCCAAAAAGAAAAAAAAAGTTTGAAAAAAAAAAAAGAATGTCTAAAGTTAAGGTTGGAGCGATAGCACAGCGGTAAGGCATTTGTCTTGCGTGCGGCCAGCCCGTCTGACCTGAGTTTGATTCCTCCACCCCTCTTGAAGAGCCCAGCAAGCTACTGAGAGTATCTCGCCCGCACGGCAAAGCCTGGCAAGCTACCCGTGATGTATTCGATATGCCAAACACAGTAACAACAAAGTCTCACAATGGAGACGTTACTGGGCCCGCTCGAGCAAATCGATGTACAATGGGAAGACAGTGCTTACAGTCTAAAGTTAAAATGGGCGAGGAGGTGCAGAGAAATGGTCCAGCGGATAAGGAGTCTGCCCTGCACACGGCTCACTGAGTTCAGTCTTCAGCATCCCATAAGGTTTCCTGAGCCCAGCAGGACTAAGACCTGAGCATTGCCAAGTGTGATCCAAAACCAAACAAAAAACCGGGTCAGGTTGATGTTAGCAAGGGCCGGGGGGTCTGGCTTTGCAGCTGGTGGTCCAGGTTTGTCCCCCAGAACCACATGGGTCCCTGGTCACCACTGGAAGTGGTGTGATCACCACCCTGAGCTCCGAGCCGGGAGCAGCC